AACCTGAATAATGCCGGTCGTGCCCTGATCTAGCTTCCGTGTTGGTACAGCGCGTCTACCACGCTAACCGGTAATCGATGACAGAATCTAGTATCTCTTACCAAAGAGAGCTTATTAAGTGAGCTTGGTAGTCATCTAGCCGATTCCAGATTTTGTTCTTACGTAATCCTGCCTGGTGAGTAAGCTTACTGTGTCAGAATGAGTAGATCCTATGCGTTGCAGTAGGCTGGATAGGTAATTGGGCCCAAATTGGGTCAACTTACGGCTCCTCGTGGGACCTCGTAGTTCACTTCGTTAGATCTTTGGCTGTATCGTCCTTACCGTCCAGGGTTTCCATCCCGCAAAGGCCACTGCTTTTTCTAAATTTTGGTCAAAGAAAGGGGGATTTTTTAAGGGCCAAGTTAACAGGGTACCATTGCGGTCTGACCATCATTCCTGATAGTGGTCGAGTTTCGCCGTCAGTTGCCAATATTTCAAGTCTGGACTATTACCGAGCCACTGGCGCGTGTTTTGTTGTTTTTTTATAACGGAGCTAGGCCGACCTCTATCTCTTTCCTCTCCCAACGGCTTTTGCAAATAAAGCTAACTAAAGGCGAGTTTGGGCGCATATGCACTTAAAGCCCTGTCTAACGTGTATCTCAGGCGATGTCGCGTTTAAATTGACATACTCGGTGTAGTTTTTAACTGCTAAGATTCACTTATTGCCAATTGATTAACCGATTTTGCAGGACATTCGACATTTGTGACTGATTCTGTCCCCGAGTATTACTAAAGATATCGATCTCTGAAGCTTGTGCTCTTTCATTCTGTTCTGTGCTGGCTGTGTAACGATGATTTTAATAATATTCAACGCCCTCTGCCGTTGTTCTTCGCCTTGCGTTCAGATGTACAGTGGTTGCATAGGCAACACCGTATTTTTGGTCGCCTACTGTCACAAACAAGCATCCTCTCGTCCGCTTCGGTGTCCTCTGCCAAAACCACGCTCGCCGCCATCCCGTCAGTCCGTCTGCCTCTGTGCCTCTCGCTGGAAGAGACTAGCCTTCTGCTCTATCAGAGGATAGCAAAGGGCCTCGACATCGTCACACCTCTAACCGATCTTCAGCCACCTCTTGTCAGCACCCTCGTCCTCTACGATGAAGCCCTTGCAACCCACTTTGAAGAAATGGTAACTTACTTCACAACTTCTTGCCTATCTTAACGGTGGCTGCCTATCTTTTCGGATTCCCCTGTCGCCCGTCTCAATCGTTGCGTATCTGTTCTCCTTATCCGAGTGTTATCGGGTTGTCCGAGTTTAGAGATAGATGCCGAATTTTGAGGTCAGACAGGTGATAATGGTGGGTGGCTGCCTAACTTGAAAATCGTTGATTTAGCTTCACAATTATGGCCAATCCGGACTGTTTGTTGAGATTTTCAAACTGTGCCCAAACAAAGGTAGTGCTTATTTATTGCCTGCAAGGACAAGGATCACTAGATTAGCCGTTAATGACTTTTTTGCCCTTGACGACCTGCCGTATCCCAAACCCGACTTGGAAGGCTTGTGGTTAACTGTCACTGACCATTTAAGTCTAACACTAAAAAGAACTGAGGAGGCTCCAGTTTGGAACGAGCTTTTTTCCTCCTATGATCGCATTGGTGAAGCCCAGCTTCATCCTGTCATTATTTACTCGTTTTTACTGTATGTACACATACATCCGAGCTGCAGCGACATAATACTAGGTGGCAAAGTACTGTTGGACTTGGGTTTGATAAAGTGCTTCTAGCCTATCTACGGAATGTTTGCACTGTTTTGCGTGTGTATTTGTGCTTCGAGTCCTCGCTCGAGCCTACTTGGAATCGTCTTTACCTTGCTCTGTCATCGAAACACAATGGCTGAAGGAGGAGAGTGTCGTAGATGCTACGCAAGTCTGCCTCATCGGAAACAACTTCACCCAGAAGTCACTGTTGAGTGGCTGTGGTGGGGACTGGGAACCCATCTGGACAAAAAATAAGTTCATAGGCAGGTAGTATTACCGGCAAAGACAAAGAAGACTGAAAGGGCCATTTCTGGCTTATTAGCCGTTGTCAGCCGGTCATACCCAGCCCCAAGTAGTGCACA